AAGATAAAAACCTCTCACAACAATAAATACAATAAAACACTCTTCGTCTTTCTTCATCCTCTTCTAAAGGTAAAGTACTATCATCACGCTCAAGGTGTAAAGCATGGGCCATTTGAACTAAAGTTAAATATATATAATAAACATATTAATAATATTAACAATATTTAATTTTAAATATCATAATCAATAAATCACTAATATTAACACATACCAGCCATTCCGAGAAACATAGACCCGCTATTAAATCGTGACACACTAATCTCTGCATGTGATAATAGAATTAATGATTGAACAGTTTCTAATCTTGGAGTATCATACATTGTATCCAACAATCTCTAAATTATTATTAAATTATTAAATTAATAATAAATTATTTATAAAATGAAGAATTTATTCGAGAACACATTATTTATCATGTGAACAAATAAAATGCTGTATGCACAAACAAAATAAAAATAGCGAGCATACCTTTGCAGAGTCGAAAAATATACCACCTGGTTTATTAAGAGTCTTTCTAATTGAAGGATCATCAGAATATCTTGCCGCAGCAACGGCTAAAGTTGCATTAACAAGTAACTCAGAAGATTTTGTTTTATCACCAAAATGGTTCATGAATTTTTTATGATTAAGGATAGGGAGAATAATATTAAATTTGGTGAAATAATCATTTATTAATTTTTTGCATAATTCTTTAGTTGGAGGACCTGGGGGTTTAACAGAAGGGTCAGTGGAAGAAGAGTTATTTGTAGGATTGAAAGGAGAATTAGCATTTGGACTTAAAAAGTCCAAATTTGCAGGATTTATAGACATTTTGTTAAGTTTATTAACTAATTCAACTAAAGAATTAGGAAAAGTATGGTTTAACATATTTGCTAAAGGAGACAAAATTTGGTCAGACTCAGTAGTTTGATCAGGAAGGATTGGAAGTTCGAGGACAACAGAAGTAGTGTTATCATCTTTTGTTACGGATATCGACTGATTTTGAATAGTAGAATTTAAAAGCTTTGTAGCAACTTCTCTTGCAGCTGCAGATTTATTTGGAAAAACCAAATCGATAACTTTTTCAAGTCGTTGCAAATCTTGTTTGGTTAAAGTTTCTTCATGTTCATGTTTGATACAAAGGTCCGTAGAAGGTAATAAAGGATCCATATTGTCAGAAGAAGGTGGAAAAGATTGTTGCTGTTGTTGTGGTTGTGATTGTTGTGGTTGTGGTTGTTGCTGTTGTTGAAGAGGAGAAGGAAAGTTGGAACTAACAGGATTATTTTGATATAACTGTTTATTTTGTAAATTATTTGGTTGAAACTGTTGAGAATGAAGTTGTTGTAAATGTTGTTTATGCTCTTCCGGATGAGAGTCACTTTCAGACAAGCGCGGACGCTTAAAAGGATTAGAAGATGTCATAATAATTAAATCGAACGGTTGATTTTTTTTTTTATAAATAAAGATGGAACTTTTGTCGTGTCGGATTACCGCCTATATTTATCTTAATTTGACGTAATCTTGTCTATCAAAACATTTTTGCCTTCCAAGACTTACGTAAGGGTTTTTTTTTATTATTACACAAATGAAATATTTCAGACAGTGCACAAACACAAAAATAAACTTTGAATAATAATTTAATTTAAAAAAAAAGATGTGAGACGCATATATGCGGTGAAAATTGGGTTAAGTTTATCAATACCTTTTTACCAGAATTCGGGATAGGATTGAACCAATCCAATTTTAGGATCTGCGATGAAAACCCAAAAAGAGAGATTTTCGTTTATATATTTTTTTTTCCCAGCAATTCAAAAAAATCGAAAAAAAAATCAAAAAATCGAGAAAAAATATGTAAATAAGATTAAAATAAAGAGAGCATATAAACACATTCCTGAACCGACATGGTGGGTAAATACTGTACCAGTTATTTACAATATATTCAATATATAATAATTACAATAAATTCATTGAGAACAGGATCTTATTTATAACCACGTTATAATATATGTGAATAAAGTATGATATACATAAGGTAAATTTAATCTGAGATCGTCACGCGATGAAACTCAAAATGGTCAAGCCGATCAAGCATATATCAAACTTAAGAACAATTAGACTGGTTCCCCCGTGTGTTAATGTGTGTTAATGAAGTTAATGAAGACTTTTGTGGAAAATGTTATTACACAGAGAATTATCATAAGACTATGTTTAAGTATTGCATGCAGGAGATATGGGAGTACGTAACAAAATATATAAATATATACTATGTTATACAGCTATAGGGCTATAGGCTATGAACTATTTTAACTATGATTAAGACTATTTATAGATTCGATAAATATAAAATCATATATATTATTTATATTATATATATATATTATTTATTTATTTTTTATTTTTTATTTATATATTATATTATATTATATTATATATATATATTATATTTTATATTTATTTTTTATTTTTTTTATAATACAATTTCACCGTCGACTCATAAACCCGTAGATCAATTCTTTATTTGTTAATTCATTGTAATATGAGTGATGCACAGAGAAAACATTTTGTTCGTTCTGTGCCGATCTCAACCCATTTGACACTGGCGTGACCAATCATATGGCGTGGCGAATAAACAATTATTACTGTATTATGTAGTTTATAGTTTAAATGTTTACTTGCCACCCAATGATTTGTCATACCCCGATGTATGATCGGCATAGTATTAAATACGTATCAAACATGCAGCATTATGCTACTGCTATAATATTGTTGATCGGTCCGATATACGATGAAAAAAACATATAAATAGCTCATTATCGTTAGAAGGCTCTAATCACAAGCACGCTTAAATATGATCTAAAATCTTCTCAATGGCCCAACACTTTGCAGTCCCTATGGCCAGGTCCGAGTACAAATATACTCGATTAAATGAAGGCCCAAACCAATTGTGCTACCAGAGAAGCGAAAAGTTACATAGTGGGTCGGGACTGGTATGTTGCACTGCCATTGCAGCCACAGAGCCTGGATGTCGAAATTCTTGCACTGTTATTGCATCCATCGAGCGTGAACATCACAACCAAATTCTTAAACTGCTGATGCAGCCGCGAAGCCAACTATATGCATTACTCATTCCGTTCAGTGCTGGGTAGGGATGTTAATCGGTCCTTTGGGATCGAATCCTAGCCAGTCCGGTCCGGTCCTTCAAGGACCGGAAGGGATTCGATCCTTAAATCACGTGAGAAGTATATAGGAATCAGATCCCGGATCGATTTTTGGATCCAGTCCCTTTAAAAATCCTAGGACCTGCTTTCGTTAAACGTTAGAACAGCCCTCTGCCTTTGGCATTAATCGCCTCTGGTACGGAATATTTTTTTTTATAAGGCATACGCTTTTGAAACTTTATGGCCCCCAGTTTGAGTGTTTGGCGACATGAAGTATGATTTTAAACTAAGTTTTTAGAAATAAGATGATGATTAAGAAGTTAACCATCTCTGGATTTAAATAAAATATAGATGATAAGTGAGTAAACTTATAGAAGTTAAATTACTAAGTACTTCACACTAAAGGAAAATTTTAACTAACTCAGTTTGTTGAGCTATAGACCACCTTGTAAATTGAAGGCCAGTGTGTCTTACAACCTTTTGCTAATGACAAAGGCAATATGCTTTAAAAAGTTAATTTTCAGCATTGAAAAGGTAAATTAAGCTAATAGAAGCTAAATTACTTATACTTGTTGATGTTTGTTTTTAAATTTCTCTGGTAATAATTAAAGTATTCGTTTTATCTTCTCTCTAATGATAAAGGCGATATGCCTTAAAAAAGTTAATATTTGAATTATAATAAAAGGTGAATTAACCTTATAAAAGTTACTATTTGTTTTTAAATTTCGTGGTAATAAAGAAGCTAAATTATTGTTGATGTTTGTTTTTAAACTTCTATAGTAATAATTAAAGCATTTGTTTTATCTTCCCGCTAATGATAAAGGTGATATGCCTTAAAAAAGTTAATATTTGAATTATAATAAAAGGTGAATTCCTTTTAAAAGTTACTATTTGTTTTTAAATTTCATGGTAATAAAGATTTGTTCTAAAGTAAACCATTCCATAATGATAATAACAAAGGCAGTATGCCTTAGAAAAGTTTATTGAAGATTCATTTTAATTCAATAATAATAACAAAGGCAATATGCCTTGGAAAAATTTATTAAAGTTTCATTTGAAAGTAAGCCATCCCACAATAATAAAAACAAAGTATGTATTAAATCTTTAGTAACAAAGGCGGTATTGCTTTCCTTAGTGAACAAATAAAATATGTCTTAAGATGAAAATTCTTTATTTAAAGCCTCAAAAAAAAACATTGAAAGAAAAAAAAAAAAATCACAAAACAAAAATGACAACAAGTGAATATAAATCCCTCACAGAATCAAATTCAAATTGATAAACAAAGAAATCCCAAGTTCCTCTAGTACTCCTACTGAAGAAACCTCCATGAGTAATAAAATCGCATTCGTGTTATCAGATAACACAAAAAAAAAACCACGAAAAAGAGCAAATAACCCACAAAAAGCCCAGATAAAGCATATACAAAACCGTGCTCCTGTCAGAGATTACCTTAAAGAACTCGACGATGGAAGTAACAAATGCAAAGTATATGAACAAGCATTCAGAAACCAGACCACAATATCAACAATCAACCGGCATTTTGAAGCTTTCTACCCTTCTAAATATGCTATAATCAAACAGTATAAATATCAACGGCTCGATCCATATGGTCCTAATGAAAAATATAAAGTAGATAATTTAAATGATAAATTTTTAAAATGGGTTGTTGTCGACCAACAATCATTTTTATTATCTGAAAATGCAGAATTTATTAAATTTTTGCAAGAACTTGACCCCTGTTACCGTCTCCCCTGTCGCCAAACACTCTCAACCTGGGTTGGTCAAGAATATAATAAAGATAAAATTAAAATTAATTTTTTTTTAAATAATATAAAATCAAAAATTTCAATTACAATGGATGGTTGGACGTTGTGTACCCAGCAGCCCTATATTGGTGTGACCATGCACTGGATAGATTCCGAGTGAAAGATGTATCGTATCTTACTTGACATGATCCTGTTTAAGGGTAGAGGTTATGTAGATCATTTCTATTAACAAACGAGTGACGCAAAATATTTTTACTGCGCATTAAAAAGTTGCTACATATAAAAGTTAATTTTTTCCTATATAAATTGATATTTATATATTAAGTAAAATTGTTCGCAATAAAAAATTACACATATTCTAAAAATTTTATTAATTTTTAATAAAATTTGATAAAGTTTATATAGTACAAACTTTTGCAGGGGCGATCACAAATTGGCCAATCAAATCACGTGTAAACAATATGTAAAATAGGGTCACAAAGATAAAAACTACTATATCTTATATTCTACTGGGCCAATTTTAATGATTCAACCACCATTAGAATCAGAAAAACCTCCTCTACAATTATATTTAAAAATTTAATATAGTTTCTTAATGAAAAATTTATTATTATTAAATATGAAATTTTTAGTAACTAGTTTATTAATAGAAATAATCTACATACCCTCTACCCTTAACGAAACCCACATCACAATCAACCAGGCTAATACGATTATTGAACTTCTAAAATAAATAGGCATCAGCCAAAAACTTCTAGGAGTTATGACCGATAACGCCGCTAATATGTTTGCAATGGGGCATGTTCTAAAAGAAAAAATAAATAATGAATTTAGTAATCCAAATATGCAACATTTTCGGTGTGGTGCCCATATTCTTAATATTGTCATAGAAGAAGGAATAAAATCAATAAGCAAAGAAATCTCTAAGGCAAGAGATTTCTCTAAGAAACTTCAAAACTCTGTTGCTAATTCGAGAATTAAAAAAAATTTTTGAGTTAAAAAATATTTCATTTTTAATGCCTAAAATTGATGTGGATATGAGATGGAATAGCATGTACATAATGTTAGAAAAACTTCAACAAATCCGTCCCATAACTGATATTCTTGTAGCAAGCAACCAAGCTTTAAAACCAAATTATCCTACTGAATGCGAATGGAAAATTGGTTTTGTTAGTAATACTAATTTTTTTTTTAGATTATAAAATACACCTGCTTTAACTATATGTTAATATTACAGGACCTGCTA